TATGTCGTTTTGGAGTTATGTCGTTTTGGAACGTCATATCTCCAGGCGGGAGTAAGTAAGAGATTCTAGTCGGGAGCTCCCGACTAGGGGATACCCTGAACCCTCTTCTTCTGCGATCTGCGCGGGAGCTAGGAGCATCTACATCTAAAATTTCAAGTCTCTAGAGCTTATAGGTTCTGAGATCCTTGCGTTCATACATACGGACGGACATGGCTAGATCGACTCGGCTATTGATGCTGATCAAGAATATATATACTTTATGGGGTCGGAGAAGCTTCCTTCTGCCTGTTACATACATTTAGATTTTGCACAAATACAATATACCCTTATACCCATTTTTAATGGGTTCAGGGTATAACAATAATTTGTGACTGGTTTAGCACAACATTTTGGCCCAGTGAGAGTTTCAAAATCTTAAGATTTGTTGAATTAACAATTAGACTAGACTTGAGCCCAAATACCTGATCTTGTTTTGCACAGTGCGTTACTTACTTAAATATATGCCCAAAAACTGAAAGCAATTGAAGTTTGACCCTAATAGAGATATAAACAATATGTCAAATGGAAAACAGGCAAAGAAATTGGTTGACATTTAGCTTTATATTCATTTATTTATTTATTTTTAATTAATTCATTAGTTTTCATTTATTCTTAGACCCTTGATATCCTCAGAAGTGTGTGTGGTTTATTTTTATAATTCAACTTAATACGCTTAAAATATTTATTAATTAATACATATACATATATAATCATTATTATTATTATAATTATTATTATGTATAATATTATGTTCGCTTGCTGTAATATAATGCCATATATAATTGTTCTTTTGCCACACATGCGTATATATATGCACATATATATATATATATATTTGTGTATATACACATATATGCATATATATATGTATGTATATTTATATATATTTTTATATATGAATATGCTTAGTTTTAAATCGTGCGGTTTGCCACATTTGGCTCTGCATTTTTGCTGTTAATTTCGTTTGTTTCTTTTTCGCTTCTTCCTGCTCTCTTTTAGTCATTTACTTAGCTCATTTCAGCGTTCTTGGGGTACTGGGCGTTCTTTCACTAGGTTTACAAAAAAAAAAAAATTCTTTGTTTTTTCTTTTTGTTATTTTAAGTAGAATTTGTCCTACAGTATTCTTTTTTTTTGTTTTTGTTTTTTGTTATTTACTATTCTTGTGAAATACATAGTTGATATACTACAAACTTTAAGTTTTCTTCTTTTTGTTTTCTTTCGTGTGAGTGTGGTATTTTGTTTTGTCTAGTAAATATAATTTGTTCTTCTTCGTTTTTTGTTTTGTTTATAATATTAATAACTGTTTTCGTTTTTTATTTTTCTGTCGCTTTTGCTGTCTTTACTTTATTTTGTATTTAGTTATTATTTTTTATTATATCTCATAAATTCTTGTTGTTGCTAAATTTTGTTTTGTTTTTCTCCATCTTGTCGTAGTTGTAGTTCGCTTCAGTGCTGTATGTGAATGTAGGTGTGTGTGAGTGTGTGTGAGGGTATGTGGGTGATCTGTGTGTGAGTGTGAGTGTGTGTGTGAGATGTGTGGCAGTGTGTGTTTTGTATCTCTTGTTGTGTCTTGTGTGCAAAACGTTTAAATGGTAAATTTTATCTCAATTGTTTCCCTGTTTCTTTATTTGCTAAGTATTTTTTATTTAATTTTTTTTTCCATATTTTTTTGTTGCTTGACTTTTGCCTTTTTTATTTGACGGCGCTCTAACATAAATATACTAAAATACCATTTTATGTACATATAAATATTTTTTGTTTTTCTTTAAGCCCATTTATGCTTTGCTCTAAGTTTATGTTTTTCTTTTTTAAGTTTTAAATTTTTGCGCTTAGTTCTTCATTTTTGGCTTCTTATTTTGTTTCTTGTAGTATTTTTAGTATTTTGTTGCTTTTGAAGCAATTTTTATGTTTTTTTTTTGTTTTGTTTTGTTTTTGTTTTTCTTGTTTCATGCTTGCCAAATTCTAATAGGTAACTGACTCCTGCTCTTTATTTTGTTTGTCAAATTGTTTTTGGTTTGCCAATTAACAAAGGAAAAACGGAATAGATTAACACAAAGTACACTACACACAGAATACATACCAGTTAAATACCAAAAATACCAATTGGTATGCATATTTTACTTTGTATTATCCATATGTATATGCATTTATATACTATATTGTATATATTGTTTTCATTTTGTTTCTTTACATTTACATTTAAGTATATTCTTTAGGCGCGAGCGACAAGAAAAGCCACAGAAAAAACACTAAAAAAAAAGGTCAATGCAAGGTGCTATATACTCGTATGCGTTATACAACACTAGTTTACCATATTAGTTTAGCCTTATGAAGTATTTACACAAAAATCTCCTCCTTCAACTCTTCCACGTTCTACTCTCTTCGTATCTTTAGCGTTAGGGCTGTCGCGACGTGACTGTACCTACATCTATGTAGCTGAAGCTTTTGATATAACGCTATGTATGCTAAGTATGTATGTATGTGTGGCACACACACACGACCCCTACACATACACGTGCATATGGTATGTACTTGTTATACATATATATGTGAATGTATCTAGCTAGCAATTGCTTAGGTCGGGTGCGGTGTTTGCCAAGTTCCATTATCATTACAAACTAAACATGTTATCTTTATCGTTATCGTTATCGTTATCGACTAACGTCTATTGACTATCGACTATCGTCTATTGTTATAGTTAGCATTAGTTTCACGCCAATTGCCCAATTCTTTTAAATTTTTCTTTTCTTTTGCATGCTTTCCATTCTTTTTCATTTTTTGGCCACTTTTCTGTACGACTTGCAAAATTTTTTCAAAATGTATATTTGGGTTTCTGTTTTTGCAACTAATTCAGCAAATTTTTTTATATAGGCCAAATCTACATTTTTCTGTTTTACTTAAGCGCTAAAAGACAAAAAAAAAAAACAATGTTTCATATATTTTTACATTATTTTATTCTAAGTAGTTTTCGCTTGCAATAAATTCGATAAGCACCAATTCATCAAAACAAAAAGGTTGTTTTAAATAAAAATCTCAAAATGCAATGCAACAAAAACTAAAACCCAAGTGTGTGTGTGTTTAAGTTTTGCCCGAGCTTTCTTGTTGGACGGAAAAAATGAATCAGTTGCATGTGAAATAAAATCGGAAACAGATCTTGATTAATTTTGTTTTTCTTTCGACGGGAATTTTGTAGGGGCATTCGCTCAATTTTCGTTTATGTGCTCAATTGTTAATACTGATTTTTCTGCTTGTTTGATTTTTAGTTTTTATTTTAAGCTTTATTTATTTTTCATTTCTTTTTTTGCTCGTTTTCGTGTATTTCGCGCAAAACTTGCAAATAATAACAAAACATTTTACAGTTTACACGATATAATATTTAAGACTAAAGATTGGGTCAGGTTTGAATAAAAAAAATTTACGGTAATTTAAAATCAAGATATATTTTTATATTTTAATTATTTTAATACTCCTCGCTGCAATAAATTAATTAAAAGCATATTTAAACGTAGGCATATAAAAATATAAAAAAAGAAAATAATTATTTTAAAAGCTAAATTTGGAGATTGTAAAATTAAGTTGAATGTTTAAAATTTGTTTCGTTACGTTTCTTATTTATTTATTTTTTTAACAATTTTGATTGGCCTGGTTTAATGGCGGCGACGTTTTACAGTTAGAATTACAGTTACATTTATAGTTATGGCGCATATGTTTTTTTTTTGTTTTTTTTTGTAAATTGTAAATTTTACGTTCTTTTAGTTGAATATTTTTTATAATTTACTTTATTTTTGCTTTTGTTTTTACTTGTATACCTATAAAGTTGGCTATATAGCATGAGCTTGTGTGTTTCCTATTCTCTGTCTCTTTCTTGTCTGCGTCTGTCTCTGTGTGTTGCAATGCGTTTGGTCTAAACTTGGCATAAATTAGCTACAGCTGTGACGACGCCTAAAACTATGCTTGCATTTTGTTTTCTTTAATATTTTTATATACATTTATAATGGATAATTGATATATCTATGTATATATATGTATATATATATATATATATATATATATATATATATAGATATATGTGTGTGTGTGTGGGCACATATATAGATATATAGTATTTTCTTTATACCACTTGCAGGTCTGCTGACCTATGGGACACTGAGAAATTTGCAGCCTATTCGCCTGGACTTCCTCTCAACAGCAGCTATATGGATGTATATATATATATATAAATATATATACATATATATATGTGTGTGTGTGTGTATTCGTGTTCCTTGTGTGTATTGTTTGATTTTGTTTAAAACTATGCCAGTCTCAAAAAGCTCGAGTACCACGATTAAATAACAAAAAAAAAAAAAAAAATTCCTTCTTTTCTTTTTGCTGCTTGTTATATTATAATAGGTCTGTGCCCTATATCATATATCATGCTGCCGCTGCTTCTCCTTCGCCAAATTCTTATTGTTTGTGTGCATGTATATGCATGCACATATATGTATTTATATATATATGTATATATATGTATATATATGTACATGCATATGAATGTGTGTGTGTTTTTGGGCGCTTAGTTTTAGCTCTTGGGCTTCTCATATAACTAACGTATATTCTACGTGTGTTTATCTTTAAATATATATATATATATATATATATATATATATATATATATATATGGTATATAGAGCACATACACAGACACACATATACATACACATATATATGGTATAGCTCTAATGCTTTGTCATATATAATATTTATCCTTTATTTTTTTATGCATTTGCTTTGTCGCATTTCTAATTTCTAACGATTATTAAAAAAAAATTGTTTTAAGCTTTGACTTAAAAAAAAGAATTGAGTAACATATATATTTTCTTCATTATTTTCTGTAGGCCTATTATTTAGTATTTAGTACAGTTGCGCCTTCGACTCTCTTTCTCTTTTTCTGTTTCTCTTGCTATCTCTTTCTAACCCAGTGGCTATAATACTCGTAATTATGATAATTATAAATATTTAATTATATTTAGTGGGCTTTTGTTTTGTTTCGTATTGTTTTGTTGTTTTTGGGGTTTCTAGGAGCTAACAGGCGACCGGTTCCGCCTCCGCCTCCGCCGTCGCATCGTGCTCGTCGGTGGACCAGCTGAGGCTGCGGCGCCGGCGCTGCGCATTGGAGACGCCCGCCGCGCCGCCAGTGGCGCCCTTCTTCTTCACGAACTTGATGTTGTAGGGATCCTCGGCCAGTTCCGGATAGAGGGCGACATCGTGTATGTACTCACCCTCATAGTTGTTGGCATAGCTTTGCTTGAGTATCTCGTCGCTCTCCTGCTGTGTCCACTCTAGGGCCGTGGTCAAACCACTGCGCAGCACCTCCTTTTCGCGATGCCAGGCCTTGCGGACGGCCGTTAGCTTGGCGTGGTGCATAAGACGTTGCTGCTCCTTGGCGACGGTGGTGCCGTAGCGCAAATTGATGATCGCATGGGCGCCATGGATCTTTACATCCAAATAATTGCCACCGGAGGCGGTGCCAGCAGCTGCGGCTGCACCGCTGCCGGTGCCGCTTGAGCCGCCAGCTGCACCGCCGGGCGTGGACTCGCGCGTGATCTCATGGAAGGTGGTATTGACCTGGCCCTGCAGACGCTTTAGCTGCTGTCGATCCTCGCTGGCACGCCACGCATCCTCCTTGACAAAGAAGAACGAATCCTGCTGTGCATTGTGCACCACAAAGGTAAACGGCAACAGCTTGGACCGATTGAAGACGCTCGTATAGACATCCCGATAGATGGCATTCGCGGCCGGCACACTGGACACAATTGCCTGCCCGTCGGCTGTCCTGGAGACCACAATGCCCTTGCCAAACGGCGGTTCGGTATCGGAGCCAATGATTCGCGGCGACGGATCCATCACATCGCATTTGAGAGCCGAGCGCGGTGGGGCCGACAGCTGCTCAAAGTCGGACATGCGGCGCACATTGAGATGCGCCAGGAAGCCGCTCTCAACGGCCATGGTGGGTATATTATCGAAGGGACGGCGCATGTTCAGCGCAATTGGATTGGACGGCGGGCGGCCCCAGAGCGCCGGCGGCTGCCACAATTCCTTGGCCAATTGCGGCATTAGATTGGCCACATTGTAGCCGAGGGTGCGCAGCCAGCTGGCAAAATCGGCGGGGTAGTGTCGCTCCTGGCCCACGTTGATAGGATCGTTTCCATTAAACCGATACAAATGTAGGCGGGTGGGCGTGATGATGCGCTCGGCGACACGCTGCCAATCGGGCGACATCCATTGGCCAATCAATGGATCATAGACACGCCCATCGCCCATGTGGACCAGCGTGGTGACCTGATCCAAGATGCCGCCACAGAAATCAATGGGCAGATACAAGTACGGATTCGAATCGTAGACAATATGACCAAAGGGTGAACGCATTATCTCCCTTATCCCCTCGCCATACTGATTGAAGAGCATCAGGGGCGTGCCGCTTTGATCGGTGGCCACATAGTACTTGTGCCTGTAGACCTGTGCATAGATCAGATGCCCGACATCGTCGTAAGTCAAGGACATCAGCTTGCCGTCGCGCGGTGAATAGATCTGGGAGACCTCGAAGGGTCGCTGCTGATTCGTATAGAAGAACTGGGTGACATTGCCAAAGTTATCCTTGCGCGTGGTCAAACGCTTTAGATGATCGTAATAGTATCTGACATCGAAGCGTCCACGCTTCGAAGCGCGCACCAGCAAGCCCTGTGTATTATAATGGAAGCGCTCCTCTCGCGCATTCTGGGCAACCAGGCCCCTGGCATCGTACTTGTACTGGCCCTCGCCGAACTTGACAATCCGATCCTGGGCATTGTATTCCATGGGTATGGTATTGCCGCGATATGTGAGAGACAGCAGATTACCATTGTCGTCGTAGCGAAAGCCCCACGGCTCCTGCGCCTCCACGCCCACCAGCTGCCCATCGCAGTCCCACGTATAGTTCTTCACGTTCGTATAGCTGTTAACGGCCATGTTGCGGGTATAGGTGCGGGTCTGGGAGATGCGTCCGTGTACACCGTACGAGAACTCCATGCGGAACACCTCCAGACGATGTATGGCCAGGGCCATGCGCTGCGTCTGGAAGCGGCCGTCGACGGTGCGCGTGAAGCCGGCGGTGCCATCGTGCAACTGGGTCTGATTCAGAGCCGGACGAGTAAACTTGAACTGTCCAATCAGGCTGGGCTGGCCGGTGCGCTTGTCGTAGGCATACGCCTGGCTGGGCAGGCTCTGGCCACCAATGCGTCCCTGCAGCGCCACCACGCGCAGCTGACTGTCATACTCGTAGCTGAACTTGGCATTGCTTAGGCCCGTCTTGGCCACATAGTCGATGCGCTCTTCGGTGAGCAAGCCGGCGGCATACTCGAAGTCCCAGCGATATTCCAGCTCGCGCTCCGCGTGGGACACTGTGCTGGGCATGCCGGTGGCATCGTTATACTGGAACTCGCTGCGTCCATCGCCGTGGACCACCTCCGTCAACTGGCCGGCCGCATTGTAGCGATAGACAATCCTGGCGCCATCACCCGGCAATATGGTCTGGAGCAGGGCGCCCGCATGGCTGTAGTGCTGCAAATAGGCGCGAGTGCTGCCCGGCGGAGTGTAGGTGCAGCGAATGAAGCCAATGGAGGTCTGCATGCTGAAGCTGTGCCGGGTGCCCGAGGGTAGCACCACGTGCCGCAGGCCACCGGCGTCATCGTACTGCAGCACAAACTTGCGCTGGCTAGCCAGGCCGATCTCGGAGACGAGGTTCCAGTCATTGTAGACAAAGCTAATGATGCCATCCTGCTGTGAAGTGATCTCCGAGAGCAAGCCGTGCCGATCGTAGCTATACTTGAGCTCCGCTGGACCCCAGGCCCAGCCCTCAACGCGATTGAACCGATCGTAGGTAATGTTCACCGGATAGCCATTGGTCGGATAGTAGGATTTGGGCAGGCCGGACTGATCGTAGGCCACGATCAGTATGGGAGTGCGTTGGGCGTCGTAGAAGGTCTCGCGATTGGTGAACTGATCAAACTCGACACCAATTACACGCGACTGATTCACCCAAATCTCGCGATTTAGCGTTTGCTGTGGGTTACGCACATCTCCAACCAGATTGTAGACAGAGTACATCGAATTGGTGAGCCCGTCGCCCATGGTAACGCTCTGGTGCGACCACATGGCCAGCATCTCCGCCTCCACGGGCAGAGCAGCCTCTAGCAATGGATGCCTGGCCACAGCCGAGGCCTCCACCACAACACCATTGGCGCCATGTATGACCAGCGTGTTGTTGGCCTTTAGCTCAGCATCAGCATGGGCGCGGCCGCGTTTCAAGAAGGTGGATCGAACGCCGCCCAGCACCAGCAGCTCGTTGGCATTGCCATCGCCAGAGCCGGCGCCGGCAATGCGTTCCCTGGAGAACAACGATTCGACGGAGGCGTGCACGTAAATGGTGAGTCCCTTGTTATCCGCCAGCTGTGAGGTTATGCGTACAATCTCGCCACTGGGTAGTATCATGCCCGTGACACGTCCGAATTCATCGTATTGATAGATGTACGTCTCGCCGCCCGACGATCGTGAGTTCAACAGGCCCGTATTGCTGTCGTAGTCCAGCTCTATCTCCTGGCGACCCTTCTCGCTCAGCTTGGTCATGATGCCAATGCCGTTGATCTGTATCTCCGATTTGTGATCCTGCGTATTCTCGATAGAGCTAACCACATTGCTATAATCGCGCAGGAACTGTATCTTGTTGCCCGACGCATCCGTCACGGTCGAGAGACGGCCGAAGCTCGTGTTTTTCGAGTAGAGGAAACTGTAGCGCGTCTTGCCTGATGTCAGATCCTTGGTGGCCACATGCTGTCCATACCGATTGAATACATAAATCTCGCTCGAGGGCGGGAATGGTATATGGAACTCGCCATTCTCATCATGCGATGGCAGATAATGCTCCAAAGCAAGCACGTGCAGTGAACCTGAAAGACAGGAGAGCAAAAAGCGACAAGTTTAATGTAAGCTTAAGACTTGGATCGTCTATATAAATATATGTCTAAGTAAGATGATATTCCTGAAAGATCATAAGAATCAATGCATTTTTGTAGACTATCGAAACCACCTTTAATATATGTATATAGCTGATAACATATATGTTAAACATTTACTTTAACATAATATCTGACTTATTCCCAAAATCTTTCGAGAATAATCACATATCTATCTGCCAATCTATCAAGCCATAAAATTGTTGTACCTCTTATATTATCTGTTGCCAATTACATTTATTTAGGCAACCCCCTAAATAGCCTAAATTCAACATTGGAAATTTATTTTGCTTGTCTATACTTTAATGTTATTTTTTAGATAATACCAAATGTTAAATTTATATCTTTTAAAGTTCCATAGCACAAATAGAACATTAGAAATAGTTGAGAATTGAATCAATACGCAATATTTAAGCAAATGTGCCAAATATACATATTGTATATGCATTTTTTTTATAAAAAAAATTATAATAAATACCTTTCAAATAGTCATTATATTCTCTTTTTTTACTTTGTCGCTCTCTGTCTCAAACTTTCTGTCTCCCTCTCTCTGACTGTCTTATGAGTGCATTTGCTTAAGCTAAACGCCAACTTCTTGCAGCTGTTTGCTTTTACAGACCCGACCACCCCTGCGTTGCCCGCCCACCTGCTCATAAAACGTTGCAAGTTTCAAAATCACAGCGCCCAAAAAACAAAGTGTGTGTGTGTATTTGTGTGTGTGTGTGTGAGCGAGAGAGGAATAGACAGAAGAGAGAGAGAGAGAGTGAGAGGAAGAGGAGTGTCTGCCTGCCTTAAGTATTTTTGTGCAATTTGCTAGCTCTTGTCCCACAGTTATTCTTGTTGTTGCGTTACATTTAAAGTTAGTGTTGGTAAATCGCTTTGGATTTGCATAAATTTGCTTGCTTTTGCCAGCTTTGCATGACAAACACTGACGACAACGGTTGACAAGACTGACAGCAAGACACCGAGTCAGAGATGCAGATGGAGACGAGAGAGAGACGAGAAAGAGAGTGAGACAGGGAGGGAGTGAGGGAGAGGGATTTAGAGACAAACACAAGTTGTTAGAAATAAGTAGCTGCAGTTGGTTGCATTACTGCTGACTATTATTTTATTATATAGAACTGCTCAGTGGATCCTTCAGCTATATCAGAGCATGTGTAACGCATAGAAGAAAACATCTGTGATAAGTACTATCTAGATTTAATTTTTCGCTTCCACATTAATGTGTGGAAAAATCGCGGAAAACGGTTGCATGAAAATTTGTATGTTTACTGTTCGATCGGTTTAGTTCTCATTACCTTACCCAACATTTTTAATATCTATTATTATGATACATTCGCCTGCTGCTTCGGCTCCTTAGCTTTCATCGTTGAAGCCGTCTGCGCCTAATTCATAGGTGAAGCCTATACATTCATTTTTGAGAATCGAGAAGGTGGGCAGCTTCAACAGATACTTTTTTTATTTAATTTTTCCGCGCAACAAGACAAATTGGTCTCTTATTGGTATAGAATGCAACTGAGTGTTGACAACACTGTAAGGGCTTTCGAAGTTCGGTAGAATCCTATCTTAAGTTTTGCATTGCAGTAAGTTGCGTTATGAATCGCACCCATTCCATACGCTCATTCATACACATTCACATTCGCATTCGCATTAAAATGATTATCGCTCGCATATGACAATGAAATATTTAAGACGTTGTTTGGTTGTTCGTTGTTGTCGATGTTGTTGTTGTTGCTGTTGTTGTTGTCGGTGTTGATTTGATTGCGTTACAGTTCATTTACCCAGAGAGCTGGAAGAAGCAGCAGTAGGAGCTCTGCCCGCAGTTGGCTGAGTATCCATTTTAGGGTCACATTTTGGGACAAGTTTTGCTATGTTTGCGGGCAACGGAAAAACAGGAACTTGCCGATGCGAGGGGTTGGGGTGGTAGAGGGTGACGAGAAGTTGGATTTCCAGGACGCAGGACATTGGCACAGCGCCAAATGCTGTGGCTTCAACGATTGAGCGAATTTCAATGCAATGCAATTCGCTTCACTGGAGGTTGCGAGGGCGTGCCTCCATCTCGTGCTGTGAGTGTGTGTACGCGCGCGTCAGTGTATGTGTGTGTGTGTGTGTGTGTGAGTCTGTGTGTGTGAGTCTGTGTGTGTGAGGGTGTGTGTGTGAGTGTGTGAATGTGTGTGTGCATAATGTAATGTAATGTAATGGTAATGACCCCATAAAGTGAACAACTTGTTTGTGCCCGACGCTGTGCCAAAGGGCTGGCTGCCAGTCAGTCGCCCACTCTGTCTCTCCGTCTATCCCTCTCTCTCACACTCTCTGCCAATTCGAAAGGGGTTTCTGCTTTTATAGCACACACGCCCACACGCTCAGCATGTATCGGTTTTTGTGGGTCTATCGGTCTATCGGTTTGTCGTGCAGTCGCTCAGTCGTTCAGCTTCACTGATTTTAAGCTGTTTTTGTAGCTGGCATATGTGACAGCGCACAAGTGTTGCCAATATTCATTCAAATGGAATTTAAATGCATTTTCTTTCGCTCCCTCCCCCTACTCTATCTCCCTCTTACACGCAAATCAGGAATTCTATGCTTGTTCACTTTGAGTTAGCCTCATTTCATTTCGCCTGCAGTCTAAAATGCAAAACGTTTACGAATATGAAACAAAGAGGATATGCAAAGAAAATATTTAAATTTTCGCAGGCTAAGAAGGGTAAATAATGCATTTTGACTCGGACTTCGCTAAATAAGGTTACTTTTTTGACGATTTCTGAACCAGCTGAAAACCTCTTCTTCCAACATCAAATGCATATATATATATATTGTATTTTAGAAGCTATATGTCAAGTTTGGTGACTCTAGCTCTTTTTATTTACCAAAATTGCCCAAAAAACAGAATATCGATATCGATTTTTATCGATTGCTTGGAAATGGAGTAAGTTATCGATTATCGAAAGGAAACTCGATCTGCGCAGGTACTAGGAGGACCTACTTCTAAAATTTCAAGTCTCTAGCTCTTATAGGTTCTGAGATCCGTGCGTTCATACATACGGACGGACGCACGGACAGACAGACGGACTCGACTCCGCTATTGATGCTGATCAAGAAAATATATATTTTGATTTTCCCATCGACCTCGATTTTGAAAAAAAACGTGATGATTTGGAAGGCGGGAGTAAGTAAGAGATTCTAGTCGGGAGCTCCCGACTAGGGGATACCCTGAACCCTCTTCTTCCAACATCAAATGCATATATATATATTGTATTTTAGAAGCTATATGTCAAGTTTGGTGACTCTAGCTCTTATTATTTACCAAAATTGCCCAAAAAATAGGATATCGATATTGATTTTTATCGATTGCTTGGAAAGGGAGTAAGTTATCGATTATCGGAAACAAACTCGATCTGCGCAGGCACTAGGAGCACCTACAAATTTCAAGTCTCTAGCTCTTATATGTTGTGAGATCCTTGCGTTCATACATACGGATAGACGAACGGACGGACAGACGGACAGACAGACGGGCATGGCTAGATCGACTCGGCTATTGATGCTGATCAAGAGTGTATATACTCTATGGGGTTGGAGATGCTTCCTTCTGCCTGTTACATACATTTGGATTTTGCACAAATACAATATACCCTTATACCCATTTTTAATAGGTTCAGGGTATAAAAACGGTTATGAGTAAACATTTACATTACATTTAGTTGATGATTTTTTTGAATCTAAGCCAAATATTGTCTAATTATGGAATGATATACCTTTTTAGACTCGTAACGATCAGTACTATCGATTGGCATTCAAAAAACAAACATCTAAATTTTGACCCAAAATTGAAAAAAAAGCAAGGGGTTACATCACGTTTTTTGCTAAAAACGGGGTCGGCTCGAAAATCAAAACTTTTTTGATGATTTTTATTGAATATCTCGGGTAAATACCGTCTGATTTCAAAATGTTATACCTTTTTCTAAAGGTTACGAAGCCTACTATCGATTGGCAATCAATAAATAAACATTCGTGGGATCATATCAAAATTATAGACAAAAAACGGTTAAGTCATGATGTAAACATTAAGTTGATGATTTTTTTGAATATCTAAGCCAAATATTGTCTAATTATGGAATGATATACCTTTTTATACTCGTAACGATCAGTACTATCGATTGGCATTCAAAAAACAAACATCTAAATTTTGACCCAAAATGGAAAAAAAAAGCAAGGGGTTACATCACGTTTTTTGCTAAAAACGGGGTCGGCTCGAAAATCAAAACTTTTTTGATGATTTTTATTGAATATCTCGGGTAAATACCGTCTGATTTTAAAATGTTATACCTTTTTGTAAAGGTTACGAAGCCTACTATCGATTGGCAATCAATAAATAAACATTCGTAGGATCATATCAAAATTATAGACAAAAAACGGTTAAGTCATGATGTAAACATTAAGTTGATGATTTTTTTGAATATCTAAGCCAAATAATGTCTAATTATGGAATGATATACCTTTTTAGACTCGTAACGATCAGTACTATCGATTGGCATTCAAAAAACAAACATCTAAATTTTGACCCAAAATTGAAAAAAAAGCAAGGGGTTACATCACGTTTTTTGCTAAAAACGGGGTCGGCTCGAAAATCAAAACTTTTTTGATGATTTTTATTGAATATCTCGGGTAAATACCGTCTGATTTCAAAATGTTATACCTTTTTCTAAAGGTTACGAAGCCTACTATCGATTGGCAATCAATAAATAAACATTCGTGGGATCATATTAATATTATAGACAAAAAACGGTTAAGTCATGATGTAAACATTAAGTTGATGATTTTTTTGAATATCTAAGCCAAATATTGTCTAATTATGGAATGATATACCTTTTTAGACTCGTAACGATCAGTACTATCGATTGGCATTCAAAAAACAAACATCTAAATTTTGACCCAAAATT